ATTTTAAAATATATTCAAATTGGAAAGTTATTTTAAATTGTAATAATATTTCACAATATTACTGTTTTACTGTGTTTTTGATCAAATAAATGCAGCCTCGTTGAGCATAAGAGACTTCTTTCAAAAACATTTAAAAATCCTACCGACCTCAAGCTTTCATAGTGTTATTTTATTTATGTTATTTAAGTTGTTATTGCTGTTTTTATTGTTGGTTTGTTTGTGTTATTTATTCCTAATTTTACTTCATTTTTTTTTTTTTTGAGAACACGGTTTAAAATTTGATTACTTACAGGTCATTTGTTTGACTGTGTGTAGGACATAGTATAGTGAGTTATTTCAATTTGAATTAACTTCTATTAGTGGAGACACGTGATAGATGTTGTAGAAAATGTACTATTTCTATCAGATTTGAACCTAATATTTGAGAGATTGTAGGACAAGAGAGATTGTTATAACAAAGAGACTTCATTGATCCTGGAGATTCAAAGCAAAGCCAATCCTCCAATCCTATTAATGTTATAATCAATGACTTTAATCCTCTAATATGATCTTCTTTGTCTAAACCCAATTTCTTGTTGCAGCTGCTGCTTCATTTGCTACAGCTTATTACTACTAATACTCTTCCCCCAAAGGAATCTAGAAACTCATGTTTGTTTGATCGAATACATGTCGTCATTGCCAGGATGGCTGTCTGTTTTGGCCTTCTGCTTTTATGAGTGGCGTCTCTTTATCATCACATTGTTCAACACCAGGACTTGACCCAAATAAAAACCTCCCAAGACATCCATTAACTACTTTTTAAGCTTAAGATCACCATAAGCACTTACTGTATATGTACCATGTTCTTGTGTTACTCTAACAATAACAGCAGGAACGGGTGTTTTTGAAACCAGAGATAAAGTGACTTAATACATTTCCTCTGGGGGTTGAGCATTAATTTTCCTGACATGTTTTTTTTCTTTTAATGAGGTACTGTGTCAGTACTACTACACCTGATGCTATTATGTGACCCTCAAGTCTCTTAACAGTCCCAGTCAAGTCTCAGATCTCAAAGTCAGCCTTATTTTAATAAATCTCTTTCAATTTATTATATGTAAATGTTCTTATTTAATATGTTTTATTTCTAGAGATTTCATTTGATCTTTTATACCAAGTCAATTTTTGAGACCAAAGTGTGAGTTTTCATATCTGGGCATTGAAACACATATCCCAAAGGCATTTATCAACCCATTCTCATGTTTCTTAAGTAAGTTTGTTTTTGAAACATGGCAGAAACTCTTTGCATGTATCCATTGCTTACATTGACACAGCAGTCTGTTAAGTTTATTGCATCCAGACTGGAGTGAACTTCATATTTATACAAATAATTATATAAATAACCAAGTTTCCATGTACTTATTAGAAACCAGTCGTATTTTTATTCATTCAGATTTAGTTGACTATCTTTCATTTGTCTCCTACTACAGGAAGTGATTGGGTCAGCAGGTGACTCTGTTAGCCCTGAAATATATGAATCTTGTGTTAAATTAAGTCTTTTTTACTGGCTATTGAAATGCAGTTGTTGGTTACATGGTGGGTCTTTGATTTGAATGCATATGTTTGTTTTCTGTTTTGTGTGTGTCTGCATGTCTTTATGTTGGTAAGATGATTTGTTCATGGTCTGTTTGTTGCCATGTTCACTCATATTGTACAGTACTGATAGTGTACTGTTGTTGTATTCAGACAAAACTAACAGAATACATATGACTAGTTCTTTCAAGAGTTACTGTATATTCAGTTAATTTCCAGATGTATTTCGATTTGAAAAACCAAAATATCTGATCCTGTTTGTATTTTTTATAGACAATATTTGGATGAGTTTGGCAGTTGTACAGATATGAGTGCACATGTCCTCTCTCTGGTTCAATCTAGGCATGATACGTTTGACTGTCCACCATTTTTGTCTTTGTTACATTATAGCTTCAACTTGCAGACCTCTATGGGTTACAGTTCCCAGTACAAAACCTCCATGTCCAGGTACTGCTGTGGTCCTGCTCTGTATTCAAACACAATGTGTTTTCTCCCTCCCAGTGTCGGTGTGGCCTGTCAAATGTGCCATAACACATCTTTTCTCCTTTACTGCTTCTTTTAGCCAATTTACCCAAGGAATAATACTTATGCTTGGGGTATTGTTCTTTTAACTTCATGTTATAACCATTCTTGAATATGTGTATTTATTTATATAAATGGAAAGGGTTTGTGTAACCTGGCCATTTAGCTCAAATCAACTCTAGCGGAGGCTCTCTCTTCTAAAACTTGTTGTTGGCACTAGACTGTCTTTTTCTTGTGCGCTGCTTTGTTAAAATAACAATAATTCTGGCACTAAAATGGTAATGAAGGGATTTAAGGTAAGACATCTTCAAATGTGTATGTGATAGATTATGTGGTCAGACATCCTTGGATAATATTAGCAGTAAAGTATATGAGAACTGAATGTGCATCCAAACTTTGAGTCAGTAACCCATTTAAGCCTGTGGACAACTAAAGTCACCAAAGGAAATATCACTCTTTTTCTATTTGTAGACTATAGATGTTTTAAAACAGCTGACATACTGTAAAAATAGACAACCTTAGGAAAAGCTTACGGCAACTTACTGGATAATGTGGCATGTGCTGTTGCCCTTTCTGCATGTTTGTACTTGCAACTTTATAGTGAAAGATGTGCAAAACACTTTATTATTTTTGCACACGTTTCTTTGTGAATTTCTGTATAGAGATATATACCACATATTTAAAACTTAAAATGCAGTTACATGGGCAAAATATGGGCATCAATGGGTGAAGTCTTGTAAAATGTGTAGCAGCTCTTTATAAAACATCAATAATGTAATTAATACATATTACAATTATAATTAGTAATGTATACCTTTCAGTACCGTCGCTCCCTATACGCAGAGTACACAGTTTACGTAGGCACTAACTCCCAGGGGGGCACCATCTCAGTTGCCCAAAAAAAAAGCAACAAAAAAAATGTAACGCCCCATTCTCGCATCCGCGCCCGCTCGCACCTCAAGTTTGCGGCTGAATGCAAATGATCAATGATGACAACTATGCCAGTGAAAAGACATCAGCAATCCGACGCCGAGAAAAAAAAAAGAAAAAAAAAAGATGAAAACGAAGCCGGTGCATCACTTTCAGGTACATTCATAATCCTGTGAAATTTTTTTGGCTGTTGACGTTAATAACGTTTAAATGTCAGTAATAATTTCACCACCACCAACGCATCTAATATTCTTTTAGTTTCCATGTTCCCTTACGAAAATTAGGCATGGTTTTAACACGAATACAAACAAAAATAATGGTTCGTGTAGCCATGGTAACCGCAAATTAACCATGGTTTTGTTACTTCAAATAATAATTTACAAAGAAGTATTAAGATAATATATATATATTTTTGTGGTTAGGCCTATATAAACAGACCTAAGCCAACAACAGCCTTTAAAATGACTTAAAATGCATTATATAAAAACAATGAGGCAATAATGATTGGCTAATTAATAATTATATGGTCTCATTGAATAACACTGTTAAAATACATAATGTAATTCAGAATAAACAATTTATGTACATTACATGTTATTACAAATGCCTGCAAAGGGAGCCAAAGGACTGGTAATTGCTGCTGTTATACTTACAGGACGATCACATAGGCTGTTTAATAGGCTATAGACCAAACATTTAATTCATATATACACTTAATCTTAGATTTTTGGCCACCTTTTTGCTATAGATGACACAGCCTCAATAATTTCTTCAAAAAATAAAAAATAAAACGTGGACATCACAACCCTTACAAAAATTAACCATGGTTTTATCGTAAAACTGCTTAAAAACTGTGTAATTAAAACTGTTAAAAAACATTTTCATTAATTGAAATAAAGGTGAAATCAAATTAAATAAATATTAGATGAAAAACTTAAACATAAATTAGTTTAAGTTAAAGTACTAAAAGTATTCAAACTGAAGCTCAAAACTAAAACTTAAAATAAAATAAAAGTGAAATTTGAAAAATACAAGCTAATTCAATATATTTATAAATACAATAATAGTGTATAAATAATACTAAAATAAAAATGCATTTTATTTATAGATTTTGTCTTACCTTCATCACAGACTCAGACATTAAATCTTAAATTATTTTACAGCATTCTCTAAGCCCTAAGGAGTAATGACTAAACTTTTTTTAATGTGATTTATGTGACTGGAAGTGACACAAAAATATTATTTTCAAGTGATATTTACCTTTAGTTTTTGTTCTCATATTACATCCCAATCTCTTTTTTAGACACTTTTGTCTCCTTTCTATAAAAGCAAAAACCTCTGAAAAATGTCACAGCTGAGGAAGTAGAAAAACTTGTGTAAAATATTTTTAAATATTGAAATCTAGCATAGCGTTAGTTCTGGCAGGTCACGTTAGTCAAGCTCGCATCAGCTGACTCTCAGCTGATCCCCATCAACCTATGGGAATACGACACCTATCTAAGCATTCGTATATAAGGTCCCGCAGTATTATCAGCAGTTTTCACATTGCTCAATAGCTAATTACCCTCCTCCATCCCCAACTCCTCCTCTGTCAGTCAGGATTCAGCCTTCTGATTCTCCTTTGAATCAGACTAATTCTAAAATGTGTACATAACATTATTGAAATTTAACGATATCTGCAATACATTTATGTTGGTTCTGTTCTGTTTACCCTGGGGGGTTATCGCTGCTCTCCCTGCTCTCATCCATGCTAGGCTGCATGGATGCGCAGGGAGTTCTTGCCCAGAACAGAACCATACCGCCAATCCAAACTGTATGCTAATTGTTAATCATCTTTAACGATAGTGGTCCTGACAGAAATATTGTTTATTTCACCTTTGTTTAGATTATCCTAGTTTTAATGATTTAATAATCTTATAATAGATTTTTATGCTATCAAAACAATTTGTCTATAAGTTTTTTTTATCAGTGTTTTTTGACTCCTCAGGGGACCATTCCTGGTGGCACTGGGTCGTTCCTGGCATCCAGAGGAGTTCAACTGCCATTATTGCCACACGTCTCTGGCTGATGTCAGCTTTGTGGAGGAGCAGAATAATGTTTACTGTGAAAACTGCTATGGAGAGTTCTTTGCACCTACATGTGCCCGCTGCAACACCAAGATCATGGGAGTATGTTGAAAACCTATTAACATTGTACACACATGCACAGACATGACTGTAAACACACTTCACAGATACTGACAGTTCATCCGCTCAATATCTGCTCAACAGGAAGTGATGCATGCACTGCGGCAGACCTGGCACACCACTTGCTTTGTGTGTGCAGCTTGTGGAAAGCCCTTTGGAAACAGCCTCTTCCATATGGAGGATGGTGAGCCATATTGTGAGAAAGGTATGGGAGCCACCAGCTATGTCTGACACAAATTTGTATGTTTACAAGTTTGGTGTATGCAGATATACAGTCCAGACTGCTATAATTTTCATGAGATGTTTCTGTCACCAGATTATATTGCACTCTTCAGCACAAAGTGCCATGGCTGTGACTTCCCAGTTGAGGCAGGAGACAAATTTATTGAAGCTCTTGGCCACACATGGCATGATACCTGCTTTGTTTGTGCGGTAGGTTCAAAATCAGTTTGTTAATGCACTTGCCCGTATGGTTTATATATAAATCAGTGCTGAGTTTGAATTATGACTCTATGCATTTCTGTTCCGACTTAAAGGTGTGCCATGTGAACCTGGAAGGACAACCTTTCTACTCCAAGAAGGACAAGCCCTTATGCAAGAAGCATGCACATGCCATCAATGTGTAGATGCTTCAACATTGCATCAAAAGCTGTTGCAAATAATACATTTGCATGTGTGGTTTATGGCAAGACATCAGTGTCTATCCAAATGACAAAAACGAATATAAAAGACATACAGTATAGTAAATAGCATATTAGTAAGAGGATGAAACTAGACATTTGGACATTTTTAGGTATTTCTTTGTCTTTATTATAACCCTAATACATTTGCATACATGCACTTGTTTGTCTGATAAAGGAATTTAAGAGATATAACGTTTTCACTTTTTTTTGTTTTGTTTGGTGAATTTATGCAACATACAATTTTTGTGATATTAGTGACTAAAACCTTAATTTGAAAGATATTAATATTGAAGATTGAAACAGCCTGAAAAAGTCTATGCATATTACTACGCCTTAAAATTTAAAGTAAACTTAAATGTGATTTTATTCCATTACTATTTGTTTTCTTGAACAATAATGAGGCCTATAGATCCCTGACTTGCTTATCAATCACAAAAGGATGTTAAATAGATTGAGGCTGAATGTTGTTTTGCAGTCTTTTCAATAATGAATGGGTGTTTTATGTGTTACTAATCTTGTGCTTTTAGTGTGTGGGAAAGCAAGTGAGCTAATTCATGCATATGTGATGTCAATATTAGCATTATGTGTCATATTTTTATCTACTCATTTTAAGAATGGGAGCAGGGCATCTGAAAAGGTAATAGAATTTATTTTAATTTATTAATTGTTGCCCTCACAGTGTATGCAAGACATAGTTAGCTGTAATAATGTTCAGCTCTCAAGGAGTATTTTTTTCTTCAATTATTCATGTTTTGCCTTGTCACCTATGATAGTTGATTTTTGTTGTTATTTATTGTGCGCAAAACCTCAATATTTACAAAATCTTTGCAAATGGTGTACTGTTCATTTGCATGGATAATTGACTTGTTTTCTTTGCCAAGAAGGAGGGATTCATATTTTTATTTAATAAATACTTTAATTAACCAGACGAGAGGCACACACAGGATGCAAGTTGTATTGTTAATATGTAACAAATGGGGTACCTGATACTTTTTTTTCTCTGTGGGTATATGCTACCCAATTCTGATGTACAACTTTAAGATTACAGTAAAGTTTTTGTTTCATGACTAGTGGCTATTAAAGAACGTCATGGTTAAATTCTGAGATTGTAATTCTAGACACTCATGTTTTCCTATGTGATATTGATATTTTATGCATACAATTCACTTAAAATAATTTTTATTTAGACATACTTTATAAAATGTGTCCTTGATTTATATATTTTCACTGCCATATATTGAAGTTAATGTAACCTACCACATCAGTTGACGTGTTCTTAGGGCTATACTTTTGATTTTGTTTTTTTTGTTTGTTTGCTTGTTTTGAATATTACTAACAATGGTTTGGCATGTCATAACTGCCTCTCTTAAATTTAATGAATTGTTAGCTTCTTTTTTACACAAGATTAGTAAGTTACTTAAAATTACATTAATATCAGTGTTGGGTTCAGAAGTGGGAATGTTCTATCTTTTTAGCATTTTTTCAAAAACAGAGGTATTTGATGAAATTTAATGCAATTGAATGTACTTTACAAATAATGTATTATCTCAATTTGTCATTGCTGTATTCTGCAGTTCACCTAGAAATTACAGAGACAACGGATTGATCCATAATTACATAAAGTTGCAGATACTTCAATAATACAATAAAGAACCATATACAGTATGTGTTATGTGACACTCATTTTTATAAATATGACGTTCTGGGGTATATGTTAACAAGTGTCTTTAATGCAGTCTTCTTCTTGGTCGTCTTCTTCTTGGTCTAAAGAAGAAGACTTCTTATTTACGCATGATAGTTCAAACTGAGATGCAGCTCTACAGAATACTGTATGAGCTAGGTTATATGTTTTTTTCAAGTTGAAATGAAAAACTAACTAGTACTACTAATAGCGTTCTCTTTCTTTGTATTTGAAATGATCTTTTATTTTGTGTTTGAATAATCTTTCATTTAAGCCGAAATGATCATGTTCCACACAATCAAATGAAATGTTTAAAACTGTCTATAAAGAATGTATGCATTGTGCCGGATTCAAAAATGGCATACAAAAAGATTGCAGAGTAAGTATAATGCTTATCATTCATTTATGAATTAAAAATCAAAATAAAACAATGACATGTAACAAATAATCTTTAAGTATTTAATTATGATGTACATAGGGCAGTGAGGAATAAAAAAATCATCAAATTCATTTTTTACTGATGTATGTGCTGTTATTTTCACTCAAACCAAAGTATAACATTGTTCTCTTAACTGGGATATTGTTTTGAAATAAAACGAACTAATATTATTTCTATCAAATAGTATGATTTTTATTAGCATCAAACTGTCAGATGAATGTTTTTGCTTACTAATGTGTTGTTGAGATATAACACTCAATATATCGAGACATTTGTTGAGGACGTGAATGTTTCGCGCTCATCGGCAGGGGGCGCTAGGAAGTCGGTGCATCAGCGCTCGCGGCTGTGATCATCTGTCCGCACTCCGCAGTCAGTCAGTGTAGTTGTAGTAAGTGCAGGACGCTCTGCTGTGATGGTCAGTGCCAGACCCTTAACAGACCTCAATCAGAAGTCCATCACAATCACAACTACAAACGAACCGTCTGAGTAATTGGAGAGCGCAATAAATTGACGGAGTATACGGAAATAAGATTTGCTGAAGAATCTTTTCGGTAAGTGTAATGGAAAGTGTTAGCTTGGCTATGCTAAACGCTGCCTCGCGAAAGTTTGTTGCGCTGAATTTTCCATTTTCCACGTAATGTTTTAAATGCGGTACAAAGGCAAAACCGACTGCCGTGGGGTGTTATATCTTTTTACTACGCAGTAAACAAATGCACAAGGCTTAAATAGAAAAAACGATGAGCGTTGACGCGTTTATTACATGATTTTGTCAGGAGATTTCCTCAGAGTGAAGCGAGCTGAATGATAGCTAGTGTGCTATCGCCGTTAGCAAGTCAAAATACGTTTAAATTTACTCCCATAACTACCAATAAGGACCGTCTTGCTTCAAAGCAATACAGTGTCTTTGTAATCTAAATTTTTATTATGTTTAAAATAACATTCATCTGTTTTGAAGACAGCGTCAGTAAAAACGTTTGTAAAAGTCCGAGTGAAAAGTTATTAACGCGACTGTCGCGTAATGCTAGCAACAACTTCCTAATAATCTGACAGCTGTGTGTTGCTTCTAAATGTTTATTCATCTCTCTTATGGAAACTGTTTTACATTCCATGTTTGTTTCTTTTCACGATACAATATCGTGCTTATTTATATTTTGCATCATATATTCTTTTCATGGTTTGTTCTTAACTCTGTTTTGGTCACGTATCCGCCTCTCAATACAAAAAGCTGCTTTTGGGGTCATATTATTGTATGCGTAGGTTTGTGGAAATGTATTACATTTAAATTATGCCAGTTTTACTGTACATTTTATAGAGCTTTCCAGATTTTAGTCTCTCTTTTGGCCATGCCTCTAGCCCGCTCAATGCACAAGTTGCTTTTAATTTATGAGCTCTGGGGGGAAGGGGGTCTGCTCAGCTCCTTTACCTTCTCAAGGAGGTCAAAAAACAGATGGTAACACTGCCTGTGAAGCGGTCTGCTTCGAGAAGCCTGGAGGAGAGAGGCTTAGTCTGAGGGAAATGGATTTAGTTTATAAAATTAAAGCTAAAGGCTTGTAGTATTTACATGCCAGACATCTGTGCATTCCACAGCTTGATGCACGATCCCTTCTGAAAAAATATCAGTATCTGGAAGAGCTGTGCTGATGAGAACAAAACCAGGGTGTGTTAAATTCTGTCATTTACTTATTGTGCTCTGTAAGTTTCTGGAGATGTTAGCTGGAATATTAGGGAGCAAAGTCACCATTCATGTTCACAGTATTTTTTTCCCTGTACAGTAAAAATAAATCATCTTTTACGTTCATCATACAGGTTTGGAATGACATGCCGATTGGTAAAGGATGAACGAATGTACATTTCTGGGTGATCTATTATGTTAATAAATGCAAAACAGTGACATCTTGTATGTCCTGTTATTTGTGTTGTGTAGCATGTGACGGTGTATTTACAGTAACTGCTAGAGCAATTATTTGTTCAGTCTTACTTTGAATGTTAATTAATGATCAATTGATGTGCAGATGTGATGGTCATGTGCTTTTTGCCAAAGTGAATAGCCTAGATGGTTTAGTGTAGGGGTTTTCAATCCAGTAAGGCATTTAAATAGTTTTTTGTATAAATACCCAGTTTTATAAATATCTCTCTCTTTCTCTGTAGGAAAATAATTTGTTTCTATTAAGTTCATTATTATTATAATAATTGTAATCAACCATTTATTATTTTATTTCAATCAATGTTTTATTTTCAGGTATTTTATAAAGTAATTATTTTATTGTTTTATTATAATTTATTTTAAATTTCTCTAAATGTATCCACGGACCCCTAGCAATCCCTTGCAGCCCCTGCACTTTAAAAATGCCTGTTTTACCTCTTATTGACATGTATATATTCTATTTGGCTCAGATCTGCCCTCATATAATGTGTGGAAATCAATTAATTAATGGCTTAAAAGGCTGCAATATCATACAACTATAAACACAGATGTTTTTCCCCTTCTATTTGTTTTTTAAAATATCAGTCAGGCCCAGATTGAGTTGCCCTGGAGCCCTCTAGGAGTGTGTTTCAATCTCAGCCACAGTGCAGGGGATCGGATTGCAGTGGGAGTCTGTGGCGAGGTGGCAGCGCGGGGAGGCTGGAGGGGAAGAGGGGGTGTGGGGGCGGGAGGGTTAAGAGGCAGTGTAGATCAGGTTTCACATCCCTGCCTGCGTTCCTCAAGCTGCTGCGCAGTCTAAAGTCAGCCCCCCACCCTCCCTGACTCGCTCTGGAGACAGGATGGCTAAGCAAGAGGGAAAAACACACAAGGCCACCTCAGACCTGGCCCCGAATGTATCACCCATCCCATCGTAAAGGTGCTGATGTATCACCCCTACCGTTTAGTCATATCATTCCGATCTAAAAGGTGGAAAACGAATCCTAGATGAGCACGGTCATTTGATACACGCTACTGAGCTTTTATTGAACAGACTTTTCTTTAACACTTACTGTAGGCTGAGGAGTCCTCTGTGCTTGTGCTTCCAGTGGATGGTAGGAAAGTGAGGGAGAGCCATTGATTTCTTTAACTCTTTCTATGCCACTGTTGGTTAGTGTGATGGCAGATCAGATAAAGATAGATTGGATGAAGCTATGCAGTGGGAGGCCGGTGCAGTGCTGGAGAGTGGTCTCTGTTTATTCAGTATGCCCCAGCTGCCCTTTAATGGTATTGATCTGCTTTAAATACACTTGGCTATCGGAGTAAATTATTTAGAGTGGCACCGGATAGGGTGAATTCAATGATGAGTTGGGTTAGTGCAAAGACAACCAAAAAGATTTCGGTCTGGTCTTGTAATGAGTCACAATGCTTGGGGATTTAATTTGGTTGTAGAGACCCAGATAATTGAATTACATGTGCCTGTATTTTTTTTTTAAATGGGATGTAATGAACATCTTGTGAGAGTTGTAATGCCCGGAATGCCTTTGACACACCAGGCCTTGCTTATACCAGCGCTTTTCTATTTGTACAGCAACTAGTCTAATTCCTCTTGGTGGCAGGCTTTTGATATTGTCTCTTTGTTCTGCTTTTAAAAAGCTGATGTTAAAGGAATAGTTTACTGAAAAATGAAAATTGACATACCCTCAGGCTATCCAAGATTTAGATGAGTTTGTTTCTTCATCAGATCAGATTTGGAGAAATTTATTTATTTTATTATTATTATTAACGGTTGCTGGTTTGGCTTGTCAAAGTCTTTGTCTAAATGTAAATTACTTTCTGTTAGTACTGTCTGTTTTGTATATCTAAATTAGAGCCCGACCGATATATCGTTTTGTCGATATGAGCCTGTCGCCGATATATTGGTATCGGCAAATATGCCGCCGATATGAAATTTTTTTTTACAGAACATATAATACAGATAAAATACTTGAAATGGCGTAATTACTTAGTTTGTCCAGCAGAGCGCGCTCCATTGTTTGCTACTGGTGACCTGGATGAAACGCTTTAAAGCTTAAGTCAATGGAAAACCATTGAAACTTTGAACGGCCATATCTCCGTAACGGGGCGGCGAATCCGCACCAAATTCGGGGGATCTCTTCAGCTCAAGGAACCTTCTCGAATGTGAATCGAGTGTACATCTCGAGGCCCTCTTTCGAATGAGACCACCCCCGCGTGGATAGCCCCCGGGGTTCGGGAGTTACGAGTGGTTAAATTCGCGGTCCGGCGCCGACCGATCTAGCGATCCCGGGGGGCTAATGACGCGCGGAGGGTGGCGTTCGAAAGGGCTCCTCGAGCTGAAGGGATCCCCCGAATTTGGTGGAGATCCGCCTGCCTGTTCGTGAGATAGTGACACCAGTCAACACTTTCCCTTCAGTAAGGAGGTCTCTTGTTCAGGCAGATTTTTTATCCACAGTAATTTTACACTTGTCTACTACAAATATGTTGCTTTGTTTCATAATTACAGTGTATACGTTTTTCTTTATTTACCCTCAAAAAATGGAAGTGAAATGTGACAACATGCCCCGTAGATGGAACACATTGTAACATCTGAGGGGCACGTTGTAACTTGACCATATGACAGCTTAAAATCTTAAACAAGTAATGTAGCAGTGCTTCACCTGTGTTACTATAGGTTATGCTGACTGGATAATAAAAATAGGGTGGGGGATTTGGTTCCAACTATTAACTGGGTTCTCATGTTACCTTGGTTTAAAGATGCAGTCAAATATTTATTATTTATACACTTTTACCATACAATTGTATTTCTTGAGTTTATTCAACTTTGATAGCAAAAACTAAATTATAAAAATGTAACATGTAGCATAAACGATTATCTTCTATATTTTACAGAGTTTTGTGGTACTATGCCAGAATCCAAATGCCATTTGGACATTCAGCCACTTGGATCCGAATGACACCTGTAGCCAGCCTCCTTGCTTACCAAACACTATGCCAACATGCTTCACAGAAATGGATCTTTCTGTACGGTAAGGAAACTGCTAAAAAATGCCACTTCTTCTGACATCCCTTGCAGTACAAGCAACCAAGAAGTGTATTTTCATGTGGTGATTACATGACCACAGTAGATAAAAATGCTCCCTACGTCAGAGATGGCCGGACTGCAACAAATGGTTTCTATATGTTTAGATCTGGGAATTCATTTTAGAAAAAAAAAACATTTACATGTCAAAGTTCATCCATGTGTGGCTGGTTTCCAAGGCAACAGCCCTACCCAGTTTCTCTCACACCTAAGGTGCAGACTTAGCAGATGCTAAGCTCTGAAATATTCAGAGGAATTTTCACAGAGGAAAAATAATTTTCTCTTAAAAAATAAAAAAGTAGTAGTAATGTGGTTAATGATAATGCAAAGCTGAAAATGATATTTTTCTCTGAAAATATATTAAAAAATCTTTGGTGTCTACCAAAGTTCCTTGAAGGGTATCTCAGAGCAGGGTCATCGTAAGTCTGGAGATGGTTCAAATTTGAAGACTAGATAGAGAGTTCTTTAGATCTCTGCACTGGACCCGTCTCTCATCAAACCCCAGCACAACCAAATGCTCAGACCCTTTGGTGGAATGCGTGAGGCAGGTAATGGAAAAGAAACGTGCAATAAACCTCTGCTGCTTCGGTAATTCCAGGAAATTTGTGGACTTTTCCATCTCCATATTTGTTCCTATATAAATTCCAAGAAAAAATGTTTTTGTCTCAGTTTAAAAGCAGAGAAATATAATACAGTGCAGAACGTCTTTTGGGGGAACTGATCAATTTATTAAGTCACCATGAAATCAAGATATTTATAAATGATTAATTCATGCAATTTTTTAAAATCCGTTTGTCCTTGTAATCTTTAATCAAAACATAAAAATGTCCTACCTCTGGTGCGAGACAATCCCGTTTACGTGACAATAGGAAGGAAAACACAATCGCAAATTCCATTTCCTACTGACTTATGATAAACAGGAAAAAGGAATGATCAATAACATAATGCTGTAATGATAAATACCAACAATAATTCTGATATAATTAAAAATTTTATATTTATACACATTTTTGCATCATAAGAGGTTCAGCCATTTTGTAAATAAAACACGCAAGTGCTAGTCTAAAAGTTTTTTTTTTCTTTTTTAGGTAACTGTAAAAGTAATGACAAATCAAGCAGTCAGCACTTTGAAATCATTTTGGGGTAATTAGTCCAGTCATAAAGCACAACGATCAAATCGGCTTCTTTAGTGAGATTTGTTTTGTTTCACAGACGAGCTTTTCCGATTTTAGTCTGGCAAGCTGAGTTTCTTAAAGGGGTCATAGGATGGTACATGCACTTTTACAAGTTGTTTGAATTGAAATGTGTGTTGGCAGTGTTTGTACACAACCCCCCTATAATAATAAAAATCCCCCCAGGGTTTTTTTTTTTTTTTTTTAAATCTGGTTAAATGTTCTCCCCTTTCACAAACCGAGCAGATCGCAGATGCCGTCACACAGACAGGCCCTTCCCACGATAGTTTGATTGACAGTAGCGTTTCAGCACAGACTGAACTGGTGTCTTACCTTAGACCTGCCCTGAGTAAGCTGCCATCAGTCCGCCATTGTTTCACCGCTGGAGCAGGAGTAGACAAGAATGACTCCTAAGCGATCGAGGTGTTCTGTTGTTGGATGTAATAATGAACATAGCAGTCGTCATTTGCTCCCGACATCTGAGCTGCTGAACTCGCAGTGGATTACATTTGTTTCTGAAGGGAATGCTCCCCCGATCTACATAAATGCATCTATGTTCGCGCGAATCATTCATGATCCAGCCTCATCTACAGAAGAAGTGAGTATAATGTTTTGTAATGAATCTTTGCAAATCACCTTTCCTAATAATGTGCTAATTAGCAAGTTTCACGATGAATGCGGCTAAAGTAAACAGTCTCTCTGAGAGCAGCTCAGAAGAAAGGGGCGGAGTCAGCAGAGCTCATTAACATTTAAAGGAAAATGCTACAAAAACGGCTTGATCTGAAAAGAGCTGTTTTTGACAGGGTAAAACAGGTGTATTTTACACTACCATTGATAAATTTTAACCAAACTATGTTACAGACTTTTCATTAAGACCCCAAAGAATAATATCAACTTGTGGAAAATGGGCATCCTATGACCCCTGTAACTTCTCAGCCAAAATGTGCTCAAATTTTGGGGGCTTTGTTCTAGAAATGGTGTCTCAACCCATTACCCCTCCAGAGGAATCTGGCCGAAGGAGCTCATATTGCACCCAAGTGCTCCACAGATTAACTTTTGTTCTTCTCCTGCCATCTACTGCTGTGTCACCAGTCTTGTGCTACCTTTAAAGTCTCTGCTTGACTGACTCTCTGCGATGCAGCTGCTTGACAGTGATTGGTGTTGTGTCAGGAAGAGATTTGGGACTTTGGTGAGAATGAGAAGAAGAGAGGATGATAGAAGAGAGAGAGTTGGTCGTGGGCCACATCTCAATGTGCCTAAGTATTCTTATGCTAATCCTTTCCTGGGATGAGGTGCAAAGCAGCCAAGCAAACAATGGCAGCGGAGCCAGAAAGTCTGCCCTGCAGTCTAGCAGGCCTTGAAAGGCATGTCGGGCATAGCGCCGACACTGAGGGAAGGCAGCCTCCAGTACTGGGAGCCCTGCTTTAAGGAGGAGCCCCAGGAGAGACCAGAGGGCCAAAGCAGGCCAAGAGAGCAGGGGCGAGGGGGAGACAAACACCAGACCACTCTGCTCATGCAGGCTGTAGTTAGAAGTGATAAGAGAGGCAAGGTGAGATTTATTTCACAGACATGTCTATTTCATAATATTATCAAACATTGGCTTTTTCTTCTAGTTGTAACCCCCACCCAAACCTTCTGTATGTTGTTGCGAACTGTCATTTATGTTGGCTTGTTGACCTGAGGGAACCCTTGAATTATGTTATGAATATTAGGACGGTCAGATATGATTCCTTCCTCAGGGATTGAGAGAGATTCATGGTAAAGCATAAAGCCTAAAGTATACTTGGGCTGACTGTGTTCCGTGCACTGTGATGCGCACACGCAAGGCAAAATGTTGAGACAGAAGAGTGCCAAACTCATCCATCTGCGCCCATCCAGTACACTTTGGAAGCTGTGCACAAAATGGAGCGGAATGCAGAAAATGAAGCATAGCCAGGCCTTAAGGTTGACTCCAAAGGAGCACCATAGTTACACATCCCCATACAATACCCCTATTCATTCAGCCTCCTAACATAAATTTATGGGGTCATCAAAGCCTTTCAGTGGGCAATGCTCCAGGAGTGTCTGATGAAACACTATATAAGTGTGCCTTATATATTGCTTTTTAAGATCTGTGATACTTTTGAAGCAATAATACTGATGGATGTCCATTCAAGACACATGACCACTGGACTTGTTTTATTTGAAAGTCTCCAAGGTTTAGCAGTAGATTTCATCTGTCTAATATTAGAAGTATAGTAAGCTGTTTTCAGGGGTGTCCTTTTCTCCACACTTTTGTCTATGTGTGTGTGTGTGTGTGTGTGTGTGTGTGTGTAGATCCGAGTTTTGTCAGGACATGACCCAACTTGTTCAGCCATTCATGTATAAGACGTCTGAATAAAAGTAGATTTTCAACTGTTTTCAACATTGATAAACATGGAGCACCAAATCAGCATATTACAACAATTTCTAAAGGATCATGTGACTCTGAAGACTGGGTCTTTCAAAACTGGTGACTGATGCCTCTAAACGTCCTCCTGTACTGTGTTGCCTCTCTTCCCACTCTTTCAACTGTGAATGTTGTGGGTTTTTAACCCCATATTTCATTCCTGAAGCAAAAGACAAACTGTTCTATCTTGCATATCCTTTGATAGGAGTGGACTTTGTGTGCTTGTCTAATGTGGTATCTTCACCATATCGGTGTACACTTATAAATTTAACATGGCTCTTTATACCGTTCTTTTTTCTAATGTGTTTGAAAGTGATGCCACCTGGTAAGTTGTGAGGCATCATCTTTGCAGCAGGCCTCAAAGCTAGCCTCAGACTCTTGTCTCCGTGTGTAGGTGCCTACACACAGCTATCTTGTCCCCTTGCTTTGCGGAGGCTAGCTTTGTTCCCTTGTTATCCGGTCAGGGATGTGTGAAAGTGGGGCACAGGTCGGGGCTCTTTGTCCCCCTTGGGCAAATCAGAAGTGACAGACACCGGCCCACTTCCCCACTAATTTGTCCCCCCCTCAGGACAGACTTCGCTCAGGGCCACTAATTGCAGCGAGACGCACAGGCCTACAAGGGAACAGACACATCACGTTATTAACGCTGGAAGGGGCCAACGGGGTAATTGCGGAACATCCTTCATCAAATTATTTGGGTATGTTTCAGCATTCAAGAGTAGCGCCGGCCTGACGGGTTGAGGGGTCAAGCCCAGAAAAAAACAAGGGGGCAATGATGTTCAGTGCTACCAAGAAAAATTACAGCACTACTTAATCAAGTCTGTTTTTTTGTAATATTGAGGAATTGTTAAGCTGATTTTAGAAATGTTTTGTGTTTGTAGACATTGTGTTTAAACTTGTGTAGAAAGATGCGTTGAGACGTGTATGATCTGCTCCTCACATATTCTTTTTCTTTTATTATTTTAGTGCCGTGGACCCCGTGAGGAGGGATCTCTGAGTGTCTAGTGCCATCATCATCCCCCAGCTATTACTCTCATTCTCGGCATCTCTTCAGCTCCACCTGTACGTTAGTGTTCACTGGGATTTCAGGAGCATAAGCAGCCGTCATCACTGATCTCATCCTCAGCCCAAAGGTTACGACGACACTGTTTGACGATGGCACAGCTTTTGTATGTCACTGTGGTTTTGGCCACAGTCTGCTTGCTTCTGAGGCTCTGTGCTGGAGGTAAGGGTGTTTTCTTTACTTCACACCTGTGTTCTTGTCTTCATCTTTCATTGAAAGTAGCTTTAGCTTATATTCATACTCTTCACATAAACCAAGCATAGTCTCAAGCATGTAAGTGGCATTCGAACAAGGTGATAGGTGTTTGTCAAGCCTTTTTGCAACTGCTCTATGCAAACTCTGCTCTGAGAGTTGTTATATATGAACACTCCACATAAATGTGATCTCCAGAGCTACTGTGAGAGCTCACCTCAAGCATTTCAATATTTAATTCTGAATGGAGCGTTTATCAAATACTCATCAAATGCACACAGACCCTTTTGAAGAAATTAAGTCAAGTCAAGTCTGCTTTATTGTCAATTCTTCCACATGTACAGCACATACACACAGAGAATTGAAATTGCGTTACTCTCAGACCCTTGGTGCATACAGATAACATAAATACAGATTAAATACAAAATGCAACTATACAAATAAGGTAAAATGTAAAAATATATATATAAAGCACAAGGCATATGGCAGATAGAGTGCAAACCAGTAAAGTAAACAACAGTGCAGATATATGATGGTTGCCTGTGGACAATCAATGAGCTGTGAAGGCAAACGGCAACGGCCGATTACTCGGAAAGCCGTTTTAGTGCACAGGAAAAAAATGAGTGTGTGTTGAAAAGCCTACTGCTTTATAGTTTAGCTCATATTGTTTGTTAACATACTTTAACTCTGAACTTCTGCGTAAAGCAATACTTTGTGCTCTGGTTTAGAACACCCTCTGATATCTCTGAGGTGTGTTTACTCATGCCAGGGAGTTCAAAAGACATCTTTCCCATCGTGACTCACTCCTGAACCACGAGCCTCTCGGAGGCCCCCCACTAAAGGAAGCTGTTAAAATGATTGTTGCCGCTCTCTCTTCCTTTTTTGGCACATTAACCATTTCCTCTATGGCACTTCACAATTGCTAGTTGGTAAGAACTATTCCAAACACACTGTTTTCTCCGGAAATACTTGGGCCTATTTGTGCTGTTGATTTAAGATTTAAGCCCCTATTTAGTAGATTTTAGATATTACAAGAGGCTTGCTTGTTTTCTGTTCCACACCGACTATAGAACTTGAGTGGTTTATTATTGTTTATTACAATTTTTTTTAAATTCACCTACATTTTTGAATTAACAACTAAAGCGATTATTTATTTGTTTTAATGTGTATGTTTGAGAAGTTTTGAATTAATCATATTTAGTCCACACTAAGAATTCAACACATGCCACTTCAGATAAACTCAGTTTTTTAATAGCCTAGTCTTTTATTTAATTCTGATCAGTTAGTTGAGAGAAAGAAAACTGGTCTGATAACATGCCAAGTAGTCAGATTTTCAAACAGCTCAGTTTTCCTTTAGAGTTCATATTATATCAAACATCAGTCTAATGTCCTTGTCAGAGCATTTTTGTACAGATGCAGCAGAAAAGTAGGAGATGGTTGAAACCAGAGACGCAGCATGAAGGCGAGGACATTTGGCTTCTCAATGCGCTGTTGTTTCTCTCAGTGTTACAGTTGTGTAACGGCTAGTTAAATACCTCTATAGTACATCTTTTTTACCTTGCTCATCAGATGCACCCCTGAGATGTAATTTCAGGAAGGTGTCTGCACCCCTGAAACATAATCTTCAAGAAACAGAGAGGTGACATTGGCAACTGAAAGCCCTCAATTGGCTCCAATAGTGTAAAGTGCTTTTTTCCCCAAGCAATTGTGCACTTGAACCTGGATTGAATAGTGAAAGAGGTTAGCACTCCTCCTAGGGGAGAAGAAAACGTGTTTTAAATGCAGGCAGGCATTTAATTTCGTAAGGTGAACAAATAAAATGCATGTAAAATTGTCCTAGAAATGACACAATTTATTTCAGTATACTGACTTAATTCAGCTATTATATAATTCCCAGTTCTCCTCCAAGTACAATTTCAAGTGTCATATGTGAGGATTGTGAAGTGGGATAAAGTCAATGAAACAATGCATTGCTGTGAAGGGAAACTCAGCTTTGCTGTAGACTGAAATCTATTTTTGATTTTCTTCTTTTGCTCTCTTTCTTCCCTTTGCACTTTTTCTCAAGTGAGAGAGAGAGGGTAATGGTGTGTATCTGCTGGAGAGTCTCATTATGGGGGGATGATCTGACAGACCTCAGACTCCACTGTAACTGGCTGCAAAATTAGGCACACATGTGAATGTGGAGGCTCTAATGGGCTCCTCTGACACATCAATCATCGCCCACAACCAATCACAGGCCAGCAGTGGGCAGAGATTCTTTGCCCAGTCAGAAGCACTGCTTTACAGCTATTTTGAAGAGTTTTGAAATCCTGACATTGTTGTAAGTTGCTCTTTTTTGCCACGCCCATAGATTTTTGTGTAGGGATGCACCAAAATGAAAATTCTTGGCCGAAACCGAACAAAATGAAACATTGGGCCGAATACCGAACACGGTTTTTCAAGTTTTTTTCCCCATGTATTTTGACAATTTTTTTCACCATTGCATAAATTAAATATCCAAAATGTGCTTTTTACTGTTTTGTCTTGTTTTTAAAAACAAAAAATCAATTACAAAACAACAAATTAAAAAATATTTAACACTAAACATTTTTTTAACATTCTAGCAGACATTATACCAACAAAGCACAATTTAACTTAAAATTAATAAGTTACTAAAATAAAATATTTTTTTGGCAATCAGACCCCCTTCTTGAATCAGGCATATATTTTTTACTGTAAAATTAAAAGCAGCCTTGCTGTGCAGAAGAGACTTCTTTTAAAACATTACAAAATATTACAGATCCCAATTTGAACACTATGTATGTATGCTATAATAAATGTATTAACAAAGCTGTTGTAATTATTATCATTATTATTGTCTTACCTTTTACTTTATTTTACAGAACAACAGTAAAATTACAATACTAACATTTATGAATGTTGATGGAGTTCTTGCTTTTTGTCAACTTTTATTTTGGCAGAAACGTGCAGGAAGACCTCAATGCATCTTTTTGTTGACAGCAGATTTATAAATGAGTCTCATTACGAATACGTCGCACGTATCGCATTGTCACATAAAAATGTGACTGAGCAACTAACGAGTAACAGTTTCAGTGCAGATTTTCACTTTGGACTTTGAACCCTGATTAACAAGCAGATCCGCCACGAGTTCGTGCAGCTGTCGGAATACATGCAATTTGTGTGTATTAGAGAACATAATGTTCTGCAGTTTATTCACTAATTGTTTAAGGCCATTTCGTGATTTCAGTCATCATACAGTAACCAGCAACAATCACCCCTTCCTCTTCTCATCGAAGACATGCGATGCAGTACTAAACAGTCTCACGCTGTCAGTGCTTGTAATGATTTTTGTGTCTTTCTCAGACAGTTTAAATGCTTCCGCATTAATGACATGTTTGTTGCATTATAAAGAGTGCGCGCTGCTGTCAGTGCTTGTAATGATTTTTGTGTCTTTCTCAGAGTTTAAATGCTTCCGCATTAATGACATGTTTGTTGCATTATAAAGAGTGCGCGCTTCTCACTCTACACTAGTTGCTATTTGATCGCATCACGTCATTGTTCAGTACAATTTTATCAGTCTTTTCACTTATTCAGCCGAACACCGAAAGCTATTTTTGTTATTTTCGGCAGAATATTTTCGGTTGCTGAACATTCGGTGCATCCCTATTTTTGTGCAGTTTACAGTGAAAACCAGATTCAAGATCCTTCAATCCCAAAGTCATTCCTCAAGCACTGAACCTGGGTAGAGAGAATGGAGAAGAGGAGTAAAGAGTAGTGGTTCAATAGAACACAAATCTCACGGTTCGGATCACATTACGGTTTTTGACCCACGGATCGGATCATTTTTTGGATCAGCAAGAAAAGAAAAATATTTCAAATTAACTTGCTTGCTTTCCATTTATTACTTAAAGCGAAGTACTTCTTTGATACCACAGCAAATACTACTAGATTAACTAAGAAAGTTTAAACATGATTAAAAAGATGAGAGCAGCCAGTAAAAATAAGAACAAATACACAAATTACAAGCATAGATAAATACAACAGAATATGTTACAAATAAAAAAAGGTTGGTAGTATTCAAATACAGAAATGTAATAATTAGGGAAAATAACACTGCAGAGTGTTCACTGTATAAATTAAATATAGATTTTTATCACAGCTGTTTTGTTGTTTGCTGATCATTAATGACAGCAGCAGTATTTATAGGCTATTGTCCCTTTAAGACCTGATGCACGGATCCGATATAATGACACACATCACATCTGATTTCTTTCTCAGCTGTTTTCATTCACTTGAGACATAACTGACTGCGTTTAAATACATGCAATTTGTGTGTATTAGAGAACATAATGTTCTGCAGTTTATTCACTAATTGTTTAAGGCCATTTCGTGATTTCAGTCATCATACAGTAACCAGCAACAATCACCCCTTCCTCTTCTCATCGAAGACATGCGATGCAGTACTAAACAGTCTCATGCTGTCAGTGCTTGTAATGATTTTTGTGTCTTTCTCAGACAGTTTAAATGCTTCCGCATTAATGACATGTTTGTTGCATTATAAAGAGTGCGCGCTTCTCACTCTACACTAGTTGCTATTTGATCGCATCACGTCATTGTTCAGTACAATTTTATCAGTCTTTTCACTTATTCAGCCGAACACCGAAAGCTATTTTTGTTATTTTCGGCAGAATATTTTCGGTTGCTGAACATTCGGTGCATCCCTATTTTTGTGCAGTTTACAGTGAAAACCAGATTCAAGATCCTTCAATCCCAAAGTCATTCCTCAAGCACTGAACCTGGGTAGAGAGAATGGAGAAGAGGAGTAAAGAGTAGTGGTTCAATAGAACACAAATCTCACGGTTCGGATCACATTACGGTTTTTGACCCACGGATCGGATCATTTTTTGGATCAGCAAGAAAAGAAAAATATTTCAAATTAACTTGCTTGCTTTCCATTTATTACTTAAAGCGAAGTACTTCTTTGATACCACAGCAAATACTACTAGATTAACTAAGAAAGTTTAAACATGATTAAAAAGATGAGAGCAGCCAGTAAAAATAAGAACAAATACACAAATTACAAGCATAGATAAATACAACAGAATATGTTACAAATAAAAAAAGGTTGGTAGTATTCAAATACAGAAATGTAATAATTAGGGAAAATAACACTGCAGAGTGTTCACTGTATAAATTAAATATAGATTTTTATCACAGCTGTTTTGTTGTTTGCTGATCATTAATGACAGCAGCAGTATTTATAGGCTATTGTCCCTTTAAGACCTGATGCACGGATCCGATATAATGACACACATCACATCTGATTTCTTTCTCAGCTGTTTTCATTCACTTGAGAGTGAGACTAGAGCCCGACCAATAAGGTTTTTTTGGGGGCCGATACCGATATTAGGGAGTAAAAAAGGCCTATATCGATATATCGGCCGATATTCTTTGTGTATATTATAGTACAGTACCAGTCAAAAGTTTGGACTTTTTCCCATTCGTGTCCAAACATTTGACTGGTACTATATATAGAATACAGTATATACATAAACAGAATATATATACATAAACACATTTTTTGCAATGATCACTCAAATGTGGTGATCAAACACTTATAATGACGTGACAGAGATGCGTAATGGAGGCAGGGCATTTAACAATTTAACAAACTTTATTATCCAAAATGAGTCTGACATCAGTGCACTGAACAGTGAAGTTGAAGTTTATTCAACTTTAATTCAATTCAATTCCATTCAACTTTATTCCGTTGAAGTTTATTTCACTTCGGAACATTCATTCATGGATTTGCGCTACTGTCTTCACACACAGATGAAACTTACTAGAGAAGTGTGACATAATATACCTCTGTAAATAAATACAATATAAATTCACGTCTTGCGCACTTTAATGCCCTTTGAATGTAACGTGTACGTTCCCTTGGAACTGGAATCATGGCAGAATTTCATGTGAAGTCCACTTCGCAGGGCACTTACGGTCGAATAAAACAATGCTTGAATGCTGCTGCCTGAACAAGAGACTTCCTTACTGAGGTAAAAGTGCTGACTGGTGTCACTATCTCGCGAACGCACCGGCGGGTCTCCACCAAATTCGGGGGATCCCTTCAGCTCGAGGAGCCCTCTCGAACGCCACCCTCCGTGCGTCGATAGGCCCCCGGGATTGCTTGATCGGTCGGCGCCGGACCGCAAATTTAACCACCCGTAACTCCCGAACCCCGGGGGCTATCGATGCGGGGGTGGTCTCATTCAAAAGTGGGCCTCTAGACGTACACTCGATTCGTGTTCGAGAGGGTTCCTCAAGCTGAAGGTATCCCCCGAATTTGGCCATTACGGAGATATGGTTGTTCAAAGTTTCAATGGTTTTCCAGACTTATCGGTCGATAATATCGGCAGAACGATACATCGGCAAAAATTACGGCAGAACGATATATCGGTCGGGCTCTACTTGAGACATAACTGACTGCGTTTACCTGAATGATTGTCGAGATGGGTATTTTGTCATAATTTTATGTGTATGTGTCTGTTCAGAGGATTCAGTTCAGTGTTCGAGTGCTGTCTGAAACGCATGTGCGTGCTTCATGTGTGTGCGGCTGTGCTCATTTCTCGCTGGAATTGTTTAAAATTCGCTTGCTTGTGTAAATGCGAACAAATAATAAACTTATACTCTATTATGGTGAAATTTTGCAGAACCGTGGGGCTTGGTCTGTACAGATCACGGATCAACTACGATCCGTTTAACCACTAGTAAAGAGTGATGGAGAGGGATCCCTGGGTTCCTCTTTGGGGCTTTGCCCATTTGATCCTTGTCCAGCCTTCTCCTAATGCTAAATTTCCATCCTAGCCCTGCGTATAAGGATCTGCCGTCATAAAGGGGGACTGTCTCCCTTAGCCTGCATGGGCTCACATTTGCTTTGAGTAGCTCAATTACTGAAATGACCTCATTGAAATCCCTTGCGAGCAGTTGAATGAGATTAAGTCTAGACAGTGTAATTCTCTTTAAGAGTTGATTTTTATTGTTTAGTAAAGTAACATTATACGGTGTGTTTGATCCACTTAAGTAAAAAAGATATGGAGTCTGTCTGCACCCTGAACGAGAGCACTTGAGAGGCTGAGTGCGTCATTTAGTTTGCGGTCTAGAATCGTTCTGATAGACTGAGCGTATCAAAGGCAGCGTCTCGCAGCTTCACAGGCGTTATCTGGACATTTAACTGCACTGCCTCCATCAGCTCTGTTTTCTCAGGGTGTATCTCCAGCAGTCTTGTTTGTGTTGTGATCGACGGTTTTGTTAATGTTTCTAGTTGTCTCGCATTTTGTTTTTGACTCTCATAATGCTGTTGGAGACCACCACAATTTCCTCTTTCCACACCTTCCAGATGTAATGTTGTTTTTATGTAAATATTTTAAAATTGTTTCGAATCTGCAACTTTAACTAGAGTTGTTATATAAACAACAGTAATGACTGTAACAATTTATGTTTCATGAACCTCATTACATAATATGGTTTGTGGAGTGTTAAAGGGATATTTGACCCAAAAATAAAATCGTTTAATCACCCTCGTGTCGTTCCAAACCAAAAACAACATTGGACCGCACTGCCTTTCATTGTTTGAACGGATAACATATTTTTCCAAAATATTGCACAGGAGAAAATAAGTTCTACTGGTTTGGGACAACACGAGGGCAAGAAAATGATAACCGAATTTTCATTTTTGGGTGAACTATCTCTTTAAGCACCCACAGCATGGTAAAATCCATTTTAACTTATTACATTTAATTCAATATTAAAGTTTTGTTTTGCCGTGGGACATTCAACAGTTGCAAAGAAAACTGCTGTGATATGCTTACACATGTTGGGAAAAATATATGTTCTTCATGATATCATATTTCTAATAGCATTTCTTTCAGGCTGCCTATTTTGTTAGGCTCATACTGTGTTTATATTGAGTTGTATGTACTCATCAATCACATTTTCAGTGTATGTACATTGTAGATGATCCATTGAATTTTGCAGTGAATTGAAGAGCAACAGAGACTCCTTTATCGTGCCCAGCTCTCTATTCAATCACTAAGTCCTAATAGAATTAGTCCAAGAGGAAAGTCCAGTCTAATTGTAAGATCAGCAGCACACGGGGAGGCTGTGTAAGACAGACTAGTAATGGGATCTGAGGATGGAATGCAGCTGATAAAGAGAGCGCCGTGTCGCCCTGCCGCCCAGTCTCTCAAACTGCTGCTTTGTGAGTGATTAGCTGTTTTACCGACAGGTCTGGACTGGATTGGAGTCATGCTCAACAGAAGGCTACAGCAATACAAGCTCATGCACTGTGACATAATAAGACAGTAAGATCAGTAGTGACATGTCTCAGAGGCCTTTATTGAACTGAAATTCAAATAAAAAGGAAAATTAATGGTTGTGAGGGTGTGAAACAGAACGGGGCATACAGGGATGCACATTGTAGTTGGGCTGCATTTGAACAGGAGCAGGTTTACAGAGGAGTGAAGGATGGGAAATTAAAGTAGGAGATTGTGGCCTTGTTGAGGATTGACACAATACCTACATTTCATTAGCCAACTGTCATTGTTTGCTACAGATACTTCAGAAAGACTGGTATCAAAGTTTTTTTAATTTAGTATATTTTTGGTTCTAAAGTACTTTTGACATCACTACTTTTAGAGATTTTATGAAGAGAAATAAGATGCACATTGCTAGCTTTTAACCTAGATTTGTCATAGTCACTACTGTTCAAAGTTTGGGGTCTGTAAGTGTTTTTTATTTTTTTTTATGTTTTAGAAAGAATTTTCATGTGCTCACCGAGGCTGCCTTCATTTGCTCAAAAATTCCATTAAAAAGGAAAATTGTGAAATACCATTTCAATTAAAAATAATTTTCTATTTTAATAGATTTTAAAACAACTTATTCCTGATGGCAAAGCTGAATTTTCAGCATCATTGCTCCAGTTTTCAGTGTCACAGGTTTCAGAAATCATTCTAATATGCTGATTTGCTGCTCAAGAAACATTTCGTATTATTATCATAGAAAAGAAAAGTTGAAAAAGGGTTAGCACTGTCTTAATATTTTTGTGTTAAGCTTTAGAATTTTCAGGATTATTTGATGAATCTCAAAGGAACTGAATTTTAACAAATATAAATCTTTAGAAACAATGTAAATATCTTTACTGTCACTTTGGATCAATTTAATGCATCCTTGCTGAATAAAAGTATTCGTTTCTTTTTAAAAAATGTTCCTGACCCCAAACTTTTGAACAGTGGTGTGTGAGTTTCTGGAACCACAGACATTGGTTTATTAACAACTACTGGCCATGCTGTTTCTCTGCTCACCTGGCCTAGCATTGATTGTGTCTTGTCATTTACAGCGGGTCAGAATCCTGACCATGTGCTACAGGGCACTGGAGTGAAGCCTGGCTCAGACTCCAGAAGGCCCAGGGGCGACTCTACTCTGGCACCAGAGGATGCTGCCCGCTTCCTCAGCTGCCACTGCTCAGGACACTGCCCTGATGACGCCAAGAACAACACCTGCGAGTAAGAGTCATAGGCCATGGCACCTTCTAAGTGATTATTGCACATGTTTGTGCTTTGTTTATAGGTATTCAAAAAAAAATTAAGCAGATTGCTTTTCTTTAAAACATAACAGGACAAATGGGCAGTGCTTCGCCATCATTGAGGAAGATGAAAACGGAGATGTGATCTTAAGCTCAGGCTGTATGAAATATGAGGGCTCTCACTTTCAGTGCAAGGTAAGAAACGTTGTTTCTTGTGTTTTATGCTTTGACACCTTGTGTAATTAAATATCAGACTTTCTAAGTTTGACCCGTTTGATTATTCACAGGATTCACAGTTTGCACAGACACGCCGAACCATCGAATGCTGCCAGTTTGACTTTTGTAATCGAGACCTAAAGCCAGAGTTACCGCCTCGAGACACTGGTATGCTTCAGTACTAATTGCCTGGCAGATCATACATATTATGTAATAAACAAAATAAACATATAATCTAGGGCTGTCAAAATGGCAGAAAAACTAAATTCGAATTTTGTACTTTAAATATGATCAAAATTCAAATTATATTCGAATTTAAAATGCATAATTTCAGGTAGGGTGAAGGAAAGCTTTTGGCTTCTCTTCTGAGGCCACAAGAGGGCGCATCGAGCAAAATACTACTAATGCACGTTTATTCAAAGCATAAGATAACATAACTATCTGTGAAAAAATGCATAATGTTTATAAACCAATTATAATTAAGTTGTTTAAACAACTATAAACAAAACCGCATCATGTATGTATTCATAGTTTAATACAAAGGGCGGAAAGCCAAACACACAGAGTACATTTTTCATTTAAAAACATGAGATGCAGTGGGATGGGGGGGAAAAAAACCCAGCCAAAGTCTCGATTTATGTTTTTTTTTCAAAGTTGAGCTTGCATTAATTTTACATGGCTTTCTAAACATGTGGCTCCTTTGTGCGAGATGCGAGTGCAACGGTGATAGATGTAAAATGTGTTCTGTGTGAACGGCTTGGTTTCAGTTTTGATGTAAACAAGATCTTCTCCGCATTGATGTTCTCTTTTTCCGCAGTATTTTTAATGAACAACGCAGCAGCGCCGCATCCAGTGGGTTCAACTGGATAGACTAACAAAAACATTATAATGCAACGACACTTACATCGTCATCGCATCTCGTTTACCACTAATAAGGCTGCCTCCTTAACGCACAACTAAAATTTGAATGCAACGTTTTTGCATTCGAATGTGGATTTTTGTTTTAAACTCGACAAATATTCGAAATAGCCCTAATATAATCTAGCTAGCTAAAATAAGATTGCAGTGAAAATTGTCAGAATGGCTTGTCAGGGACAAATCAGTTAATGTTTAGCATGATATACCATAATTTTAAATCAAAATCAATACAGAATATAAACATTAATGTTGATTTTTTTTTTTGGATATTAATATTTTTATTCAGCACGAATGCATTAAATGGATCAAAATGGTCAGTAATTGACATTTGCATTGTTTCAAAAATTTCTGTATTTTTTTAAAATACTGATTCTTTGGAACTTTCTGTTCATCATAGAATTAAAAAAAAAAAAAATTTTAATATAATAAATTTGCCAAAATAATAATCCGACCAGGCCTGCTGATTGAGCCCAGGTTAACCTAATGCCTTAATGATGGACGTGTTTTCTCTTCATGTCTTTACAGAACCACCAGACCCTCACTGGCTGGCTTTCCTCATTTCAGTGACTGTGTGCTTCTGCACCCTCATCTGTGTCACTGTCATCTGTTATTACAGGTGAGATCGTCACCGCACTGAAGCAGCAAAACACACTGAAGCTCTTACATATAATAGCCGCTTGTGACGTGTCCGTTTTTTCCACATCAGTTAACTCTAATGCTTGCTGTGTTTTTGCATAGTACCTTTGAAAACACATGCCACCCACATCATGGCCTGTTGTTGTCGAAAGAGAAACACTTTTGTTGCTGCAAGTAGGGGCAAGACTACTAACTATGGAAAAGTTTGCCTTTTATAACAAATCAATCTTTTAGTGTCTTGATTACTGAGCTGTCAAAACCTGTCATGTTTGTAAAATAAAAAGAAAGAGCTCTCAGATTTCAAGTGCAGCTGTAAAAAAGATTTTGTTTTTGACTGTGTCCTCAGGTATAAGTGGCAGACAGAGAGGCAACGCTACCACAGAGACCTGGAGCAGAACGAGGCCTTTATCCCAGCTGGAGAATCTCTGAAAGATCTCATCAATCAATACAGAATATAAACATTAATGTCGATTTTTTTTTTGGATATTAATATTTTTATTCAGCACGAATGCATTAAATGGATCAAAATGGTCAGTAATTGACATTTGCATTGTTTCAAAAATTTCTGTATTTTTTAAAATACTGATTCTTTGGAACTTTCTGTTCATCATAGAATTAAAAAAAAAAAAAATTTTAATATAATAAATTTGCCAAAATAATAATCCGACCAGGCCTGCTGATTTTTTTTTTTGGATATTAATATTTTTATTCAGCACGAATGCATTAAATGGATCAAAATGGTCAGTAATTGACATTTGCATTGTTTCAAAAATTTCTGTATTTTTTTAAAATACTGATTCTTTGGAACTTTCTGTTCATCATAGAATTCAAAAAAAAATTTTTTTTAATATAATAAATTTGCCAAAATAATAATCCGACCAGGCCTGCTGATTGAGCCCAGGTTAACCTAATGCCTTAATGATGGACGTGTTTTCTCTTCATGTCTTTACAGAACCACCAGACCCTCACTGGCTGGCTTTCCTCATTTCAGTGACTGTGTGCTTCTGCACCCTCATCTGTGTCACTGTCATCTGTTATTACAGGTGAGATCGTCACCGCACTGAAGCAGCAAAACACACTGAAGCTCTTACATATAATAGCCGCTTGTGACGTGTCCGTTTTTTCCACATCAGTTAACTCTAATGCTTGCTGTGTTTTTGCATAGTACCTTTGAAAACACATGCCACCCACATCATGGCCTGTTGTTGTCGAAAGAGAAACACTTTTGTTGCTGCAAGTAGGGGCAAGACTACTAACTATGGAAAAGTTTGCCTTTTATAACAAATCAATCTTTTAGTGTCTTGATTACTGAGCTGTCAAAACCTGTCATGTTTGTAAAATAAAAAGAAAGAGCTCTCAGATTTCAAGTGCAGCTGTAAAAAAGATTTTGTTTTTGACTGTGTCCTCAGGTATAAGTGGCAGACAGAGAGGCAACGCTACCACAGAGACCTGGAGCAGAACGAGGCCTTTATCCCAGCTGGAGAATCTCTGAAAGATCTCATCAACCTTTCTCAAACCTCAGGCAGTGGCTCCGGGCTCCCCCTGCTGGTGAGAAATCAGAAATGCAGACTGTAGGATCTTTGTAGGCTCATTTTTTTATTTACTGTGTTCCTGCTCATTTTTGCAGGTGCAGCGCACCATTGCGAAGCAGATCCAGACAGTGCGTCTTATTGGAAAAGGCAGGTATGGAGAGGTGTGGCTCGGCCGGTGGAGGGGGGAGAAGGTAGCAGTGAAAGTGTTCTTCACTCGAGAGGAGGCCAGCTGGTTCAGGGAGACAGAGATCTACCAAACCGTGCTCATGAGACACGAGAACATACTAGGTACACTTCGTGTCATTCAAGATAATCTTGTTCATGTGTAGTGTTTGAAATTGTAAATCAATTGTGTAACGCAACTCTTCGATCTGTCTGAAGGCTTCATTGCTGCTGACATTAATGGCACTGGAGCATCTACGCAGCTGTACCTGATCACAGACTACCATGAGAACGGCTCTCTGTATGACTATTTGAAGTTCACTACTCTGGACTCGCAGGCCCTGCTCAAACTGACCTATTCTGCAGCCTGTGGCTTGTGCCACCTGCACACGGAGATCTACGGCACACAGGGAAAACCAGCCATCGCTCACAGAGACCTGAAGAGCAAGAACATCCTCATAAAGAAAAATGGCACCTGTTGCATCGCTGACCTCGGGCTTGCTGTCAAATTCAACAGGTGCTTCGTCACTCTTCGTTCATTTTGAAGTGGTTTGTTGTCATTTTGAGGAAGTAACGTTTTTTTGTTTGTCTCAGTGACACAAATGAAGTGGACATCCCACTGAGCACACGTATGGGGACCCGACGCTATATGGCTCCAGAGGTCCTGGATGAGACTCTGAATAAGAACCACTTCCAGGCCTACATCATGGCGGACATCTACAGTTATGGGCTGGTTATATGGGAAATGGCCAGACGCTGTGTCACTGGAGGTATTCACTGGCAAATCTTTTTTGTTTTGCTTTATACTTTAGACTTTATACTTATAGATTTTTGATAACACTTTAATATAGGGACCAATTCTCACTATTAACTAGTTGCTTATTAGTATGCCTATTATTAACATATTGGCTGTTTATTAGTACTTATAAAGCACATATGTGACCTTGGACCGCAAATCCAGTCTTAAGTCACTTGGGTATATTTTTAGCAATAGCCAAAAAAACATTGTATGTATGTTGTATGTATTCAAATAGTTGTATCTCAGCCAAATATTGTCCTATCCCATACATCAATGGAAAGCTTATTTATTCAGCTTTCAGGTGATCTATAAATCTCAATTTTAAAAAATCGACTCTTATAACTGGTTTTGTGATCCAGGGTCACATATATTCTCCATGACCATATTCTACATCCCTAATCCTGCCCAATACCTTCGTCCAGTTAAAAGCTGTTGTAAACTATATGATGTGTGGCATTTAAAAATCATAATTTAACTATACAGAAGTTCTTCTCTTATCCCTCACAGAAGGTTCAAGGTAAAGAGATATGCATGCTGCATTTTCAGTAGATGCAGTTTAATTTGTCAAAATGGTGGTTGCCTAAACCATATATTGTTTGCGTTTTTAAAGCATGCTGTTTTTAACATCCTCAAAATAGAAAACATTCCCAGTGTGCAAGCCTTTGCCCATATAGTTTCATAAAGTGAACCAGCTGCCGATACATCTCATTTTAATTAGGAAAGAAAACTCTTCATACTGACAGGTCGAGTGGATCTTACTGAACTGCGGTCAGTATGAACCCCTTCAAAGTTGCCAAACTCAGTGTAGTGTTTGTTGATACATTCCTGAGTTCACTTTATTTGGAGATGCTGGGTGCAGGTTTTTTGGTACGGATTACTATGAATGTGACTTTTGAGGATTTGGTGATATTCTGACCATATGTCCTTGCCAATATTATGAATCTTGTGTTTGAACTGTGTTTATGTTTGTGAGGAGGCTGAAGGTGAAGGGTACGACTGTAACATCTGTTAGTCATCAGTGCTTTATATTTCAGTAAGGGCTGCCAAAATACGGTCTTGGTAACTGGTACGATCCGAAACACACATTATTGTTGCATGGCATGTTTACAGAGCTCCCATGCAGATTGAATTTTTTTATTCTTTAGAAAATACAGTGTTGTGTTCTAGAATACTTTTTTTGTTATTCTCAGTGCCATTGTAAAAACCAATGTGATTTGTAATAGTAACAGAACAATTCACAATAGTTCGTTCCACCACTATCTGGACCCTTAAAGACAGGATGTGTGAAAATACTATGTGCCAGACTAAGGTGCTTTGTACTTTCAGAACAGTACGCCGGGAAATGCCAAAAGGGCATCTTGATTAAAACAATATGTCAAGGTTACTGACATGCTTACAAAAGGATTTAAAATATTCTGAAAAGAAATAGATCTATTAAAGGAAACATTATCTCACTTCAGAGTGGATAACTTCAGCATACAGTACAGTACGCTAGAGAAACATTAGATTTGGTGTATATGAAAATACATTTGTTGCTCTTACTACTATACAAGTATGAAAATGGAATCATCTATATCAAATGCTTTTCTGTGGCTAAAAGAGATTTTAAAACGTTAAGTTAGCGTTTGATTGATTGCATTAAAGAAAGTCGAATCATGGCTATTCCAGAATCTCATCTTTTTCTTTTCAATAATTTTGTCTGAATTTTCCCAAATGCTGAATTTTGCATGCATCCCCTAAGGCTTCTGTACTTCATCCAAAAACTGAGAATGCACCTCCTCACTGTAATCTGAGTTAAGTATGTTGAAAGGATGTGTTTTTCCCTTACTGTACATATGCCTGTAGGTATTTCAGTGTGCTTTACTATAATATCACCAGCCCATCGCTATGTAATATATTAAACAACCTGTCTAATTTGGAAACATGTTTTTTGTTTTATTCAGCCCCATGTTGAAAGGGTGCCTTAAGATTAGGCCTCAAACTCTGTATAATATTTGTCCATGTAATCGTTAAAAAATATAATTTTAGTACACATTTTTTTTTCTGTGGGTTTTGTTTGTTTTTTGTATGAACTGAAAAAGTAAAATATCTTGACATCTATTTTAGGGCTTATAAAGGATATCGTAGTTGTCACACTGGAACCAAATATAAATTTCATAATTGCTAGCTGTTATTTTAGTCTCTCAAATCCTGAATGAGAAATTTAAGTGGCGAGCAGTGCAAAAAAAAAAAGCATATTTTTTGCCATCATGCAGTCTGCTTGCACCTTTAGTTAGTCGCATGTTCTCAGGCGGTCTGCAGCATTAGTAGACCCGCAAACGTGTTATCTTGTGGGTTGTTGCGCTCTATAGTTCCCTGCACCAGCTCTAGACGGAGTTCCTCTCCTTGCTCCATCTGCAGGATGCAGACACGTGTTGCAGGTGCACCCAACTTCCTCGGGTTCTGCCGCAAGGAGGCAGCTACCTCTCCACCTCTCTTTAATTGAGCCAGAGATGGGCCTGGTCCAAAGTCCAGTGTTACCACAAAGAGGTAAGCACCAGAAGTAGGAGCACGAAATATGCCTGTTTTTGGCGAGTATAATTGTCCATGATTTAGGGTCACGCTTTCAAAAAGTACCGTACCAGATCCGTTAGCACCTTCTGTAGTGCTGGCCAGGAACATAATTGGACTATCTGGGAGCTGACGAAGCACTGTTTGAAATCAAATGATAATGAAAAGGCATTAAAATATGAATGCTGTGAGAAAAAAAATTAGACAATGCAAATGCAATTACAATTGACTCACTGGCGGTGCTCTTGTCACAAATGGCAACTAACATTTACTCTAGGTTCAATGTGAAAAACATTTTACATGCTTAATGTAGCATGTTAAATAATTACATTATCTACATTATTTCGGTCTAGAAATTGTTATATTTAGTCATTTAAGGCAAGGGTCTCTGAAGCACGGAAACCTGCACATGATGAAAGTTTTGTTCCCACAACCTATTAATTCATGGTCATGTTTTAATTAATTCCCTCATTTTAGTTGAATTATTGCCATATTGTACTAATTTGTTTCCTCATTTTAATTTCAATCATGGGCACGATTTAACTAAAAGTTGTGGGAATTCTTGATTTTTGGCCATAATTCATGTAATGTACAAGGCTCTGTAACTATAAAACAACAGAATATTAAAATAATTTTGATGTGGCAGTTCTTTAATAGAGAAAGCCCTGTAAGTTACATTTGCATTGGGGAAAACTGAGGATGAGTTCACAATGTAAATCGAAAAAAAAGAGGTATATTATTAAGAGTGAATAGGTACTATAGGTACTATATGTTTAATTATCTCCTTACCTGCGGACTCCAGTGATGCATCCCTTTTGATGCGGTAATTCACTCGTTCTCCTGTCTGAACAGCTCTGTTATCTGCCCTCTTCCTTTGTTTCCTGTTTTGCTGTTTTGCTTCCTTTCTCTTCATCAAAACTGACAGTTTATTCAAATCTACAGATATCTCAGAGCCAGTAAGTCCCTCTGTATTACTGAAAATGCTGTTGAAAACTCCAAGGTGGGTCTCAAGGTCCTTACGCAAAGTATCCACGTCGGACTGCAGTTTCACCTCCACACCACCAGTGGCAGCAGTTTTAGTGCAGTTGCAGCAAGAAGGACAACGATGTTCCTCAAGCTGTTTAATGTCAGCTCCAAGTTCCTTCACCATTTTCTCTAAGGTCCAGAAGTCATTATCAGAGTACTCTGGCAGCTCCTCGGACAGGTCAAACCTTTCATCCCCACGTCTCCTTTTGATGCCCACCAAGGCCCAGTCTGAAAGCACTGAGGGCTCATCTGCTGCCGTCACCTGATGGGCAGCAGAGTTCAGCATTGAGGCCAAGCTGCGACTGTGTCCATTGATCTGCTCTTGCATATCTCTGATGCTTTCCCTCAATTCTGGTATAGAGAAACGTCTTTTTTCCTCAGGAGACCATGCCATGAACTCCAACACCTCTTCCCCAAGCAAAATCTCCAGTACCTCCGAATGACGAATGGCATCCTGAAGCAAGGTCTTGAAAATGCTATGTAGTTGCTGGATCTTCTCGACTTTATCATGCTCTTGGAGTGTTTCGATGTCCTGCTGGCTGCCCAGTAGAGAGGCCTGGAGTTGCATCACATTGTGCTGTAACATTCTGCTCTTTTCCTGTTCAAAAGCAAGAGACTTTTGCACATTTAGTAGCCCTAGTTTCAGATCTTCCGCGGTTGGAATCCAAGAAAGACTGTCTAACATCTCCTGAGCCTCACGCTCATGGGCCAGCTTATTTTCATTCGCTATCTCTTTCACATTAGCTACAGTTTCTTCCAACTGGGTCACCGATGCTCCAAGAGCGATACAGTCACAAACCCCACTTGCCGAACTTATATTCTTGTAATACTCTGTATAGAGATAGTCGACATCAGTCTCCATCTCCTGCAGGGTGCTTTGGAGAACACTGATGTTGCTGTTTAGCTCATTAATGCGGTCAAGAACTGCTACCTTGGCTGCCTCCACCTCTAAACCGGTCTCCATAAACTGAACCTGGCTATTGAGGCCAGTCTGGACTATTTTCTTGTCCAGATCTCTCCAACCATTCTGGAGGTCCTTAATGTTTGCAGTCACTTGTTCATGGCCTTCAATCAAGCCACTAAGTCTCACTGTGTTGTTGATGACTTTGTTGTCCAGACGTGTGATGGCCTCCCAAACAGCTGTGCTCTCATAAGACTGACTCTGTGCAGGATCGGTCTTCTTTTCAGGCCAAATCTTCTGAAGTTCCTCGTCCAGCCTCTCCTGCTCCTGCCGCACTTCAGACATTGATGTGTTCAGGGAGTGGAGATTCACCTAGAGCAAGACACACATTCAGTACAATAGTTCTGCACATATAAAAGTGTCTTGAGGTTGAGTAAAAACTCTGACCTGTAACATCTTTTGGTTACGTTTGAGTTTGACATCTATGTCTGTCTTGAACTTCGTCAGGTTGTAGTGCAGCATGGTTTGCTGCAAGTGGAGCCTCGCTTCTACCTCATCGCGGTGGTGGTGAAACTGAGCTTTCACTTCCTCCAGCTTCTGTAAACTCTCCCTCAACTCTGCCTCAACAGCCTCCTGTGGATTTTGCTCCTCACCACCAACCTCCAGAGGCTCAGTGGCCCTCCCCTGCCCCTGTTCATGTCGGAGTTGGGCCATGTCCCGCTGCAAACCCTGCACCTCCTGAGAAAGCCGTTCCAGGGTTAGATTGAAACTGTCCAACACAGGTTGCAGCTGAGACATCACAGCCTCTTTCAAGATTGGTAGGAGCCCGTGATGAAGGTAAGGAGTTTCAGGTTGAGGAACACCTTCATTTACAGCATAAGGATCTGGAAAAATAGAAAGACATTGTGACGAAACAAAGACACGTGAACTTTAATTTGGCCTTGTTTAGAGAAAATCTTAAAATAGATATGTTCTCATTGGTCATCAGTTTCTATGAACATTCTAAGCAACTTACAAAGAGGGGAATGCCAGCAACAATCATGTTTTTGGAGAATAACCACATTGCCAAAATAGAAATTTGATTCTATTGTCATTCTTAGATAATAATTTTCCCTGTGGTGCTGTTTGTCCTGTTTGACATTTTGGGCTGCTCATGAGGAAACATCAAAAATATGTCAATTTCCATTTCAGCCTGGGTCATTCAACCAAACTTTGAACCTTTTAACTGACCCGTCAACAGCCCAAGGTCTTTCACATCCCCTGCATTGTAAGAAACTGCGTGTGTGGTATGTTTTGTTAGGGTTTTGTGCACAAGTTTTAGTTAAGAGTTTGAAGCAAGAAAAGATCTGTACATGTACAAGTTCCCTGCTGGGAAGCTGAATATAGAGGTCATGTGCTGTTTTTTTTATCCTTTTTAATCCTCTGGAAAAGCTTCAGAATTTATGCTCCTGCTGTTTTTTTTCCCTGTGTTGTAAAATCAAATATATATGATTGAGTCAACTTTTATTACCCTGACAACATTATTACTAGTTGAACCACACTTCACACAGACACAAACGCTCTGCCTACCCAGAACATCAGGGTAACTAGAAGAAAATTCTCCATTCAGACTTCAAAGTTTTTCTTTGTCTTATTCTGTGAGAGAATGCACATTTAAAAGAGGCTCTCAAGCGTTATTTATGTGACAAATGTGTCCTTACATCAATACCGCTCCAGCGATAGCGGTAGTAAGCAAGTATTGTGTGCCTGGATTCAGTCTATAGCTGAACCTCTGTCGTTTCCATAGACCATTACATCACACTCATAACCATACAATGTTTGTATGGGGGGACTTTTTTTCCCAGGGAAAGAGAGGATATCCTGTGCAGGAACTAGTAATGAGAAGGCACAGTGAGGAGGAGTTGTCATAGCAGAGGAATGGAGGTTTTCCCCCAGTCTGCAGCATTATTTACTGTTCTGTTAATCTGGCATCCTCTGGACAGAACAGAAGGATGTAAGAGAGACCGGCTCTGGTTGAGACAGACAGAATAATATCCCCATAATATCTCTGACAATGCATATTACAACCAAAGGAAGTGTCCGGTAAGCAAGTTTCTGGTATGGACAACACACGTGATCTGTTTTCTGTAGTGTTTGGATGTACAAGAGAGTGGAAAGAGATCTGTCAATATAGAGTGCTGCAGGAATTACAGATTTCTGTAAACTAACTTGGTTTGCATCACCTTGGTTCCCTCAAAAAAGCCAACTGTATTTTTTCATTGGCTTTTGGATTATTGCAGAATATAAAGTCTGTGATCAACAAGGTTTATGATTCTCACACGTTTTATCACAGTAATCTGTACAAATAAAACATAACTTTTAAAAATTTTGAAGCCTAAATAGAATTGCCAGAATAAAAAAAAAACTAAAAGTAGGCTATAAACAAAGGACACCATGATCACATTTCTTCAATGTCAAAACCAAAACATTTCTGTCTTTATTTAAAATCTACAGTTTGGAAAGTTTGAGTTAGAATAGTTTCAACAGTGCAAGCATAAACACAATAAGACTGTAAAAGTGGACTATAAAGTAGATGAGTTGACCAGTTTGGCGAGTTGATGTTTCATTGTATTTACATATATAATAATTACATTGATATATTTCATTGTATCTCTGCAGTCCCATTTAGCAACTTGTTAGCAAGTTCTATGTGGTCAAAGCAAAGTCTGCAAGGAATACTGAATATAAAATTTAACATACCTCTCCTCTCAAAGTGGTCATGGCCAGCATGACGGCTGTGCTCATAGTCATCAGTGGGCTCTGCTGCAGTTTGATTCTCTACATCAGGTTGGTGAGCTTCATATGGTGGACCGCCAAACATTTGGTAATCATTCTGCTCTCTGTTCTCCCGAGTTAGTTTGTTATGTCCTAAGAAAAGAGAAGAAAAAACAGTAGTGCCAAATCTTATGTGGCATTGTGGTTGCATTGATTGATGATGCCTTTGCCATCATGCAGCTCTACTCGCTGCACGAATGTGACCTGTGCACTTTGACCTGTGCATTTGAATCTCAGGAAGGTCATTAGTAGGAGTGCTTAGTATCAGATTAATCAGCAGCATGGGAATTTCCAAGTTTGTGTCCAAAGCCTTTGTTTGTGTCCCAACAACCAACTCAAAGGATTATTTTTAGAGCTGTGGATTTGACGGCCTCCTCTGAAACGCGCTATTATTCTAGCGTGCTCCAGTGCATCTGTGTATTTACCCAAGACCGTTTTTGTTTTGTTCATGCTTGGACTGAAGCACGGTCATACACGTTAACACCCTGTGTGGGCTCGCCCCTTGCCTTCAGAAAGCTCATACGCCCTTTTTTCCGTCCTCCCATGTGGGGCAATAACATTCTCATGGCCAGCTAATATTTGCACAAACACGTTTTTCATTTCCTCAGTTTGTTTCAGCAGCCAGGCTGTGTCAGTCTGTCACAGGTCATAGAATGCTGTATTAACCAATCAGCATGCAGAGATGCAACTATCCATGTTGTATTAGAGTTCATTCAATTACAGATGGCAAAACTGTAGATCTTTAACTTATTTAAAGATGAAAGAGTTTTTACACCACATACGTCTGTCTGTCGCTTCATGTCCCCCTGGATGTGCTGTGCCTGCCATGCTGGGGTCTTCAGATTCTGAGACGTGGCCGTCTGTGACTGAGCACAGAAAAAACAGAGACAAAGAAAATTGCCTGGTTTAGCTGTTCTTATGTTTTCAAGAACATATGACACCTCACCAGTGAAAAGCTCCTTTTACAAAAGCCATTTTGCATCGGTTTAGGACAATCTGGTCCAATTTACAGTAGATGAAAGAACCAAGCTTGGTCATTAGCAGGGGGATGTTTATATACTTTTGGCCAAGCAGTGAATTCAGATTTTAACTTTAATGTTGTTACATGTACACAAGAGAGGAGTAACACCATGTCTTGTTATCTTTTGGAAATGGCAATACCAGTGTAGAAGCAAACCAGTTTATCACTGACTTATGAAGCAAGTCAGGCATGGTATTGCAAGCACTTCTTGTTCTTGGTTCCAGTGTCACCTTAAGCTCATCAGTACCTGTCTCCTCACAGTTTTTCCCAGCATGCCCAGGGCAGCATCGCCACAGCAGAGCAGTGTAGATTGTCTCCTTCTGTCTGTACACTGGCCGAGTGGACAGCTTGTACCTGCATACAAATTATTTTGCATAACGATTAAGTTATGAGATGTAATACATGTTTTTATGTTAAAATACCTTTTCTATTCTAACTTAATATGCATCAACCAGTAAAAACTCAACCAGTGACATGAGTTTATGGGCAGGACTAACTGTTTGTTCAACCAATAGAATGCACTTTTTCAGCAACCTATAGGTTCCAGGAGTGTTTTTCCCATTCATTTTTAGGGATATTAAAAAGGCTTTGTTTAGGAGTTATACATCATGAACCAAACCAATCAGCTAGGAGATGAATTACAACATTACAAACTTTAATTTGAAGGGAAAATAATAGGTCTTTGAGAAGTGGACAAAAAGTCAAAGGTACAAGACTGTACTGGACATCTTTAATGAGATGAACTACAATCCTATAAAACATTGAGAATGACATAATTGAATTAAAAACATAAATATAAAACTACTGATTTAAAGATATTCATTTGGCACAATTTATTTCTCATAATTAAATAACTCTGAGAATTGATGATTTATCTGCAGAATCATGGGTAACACAGTTACCCATCAGTAATTCCACTGTTGAGCACAATTATTTAAAAAGCAAGTAATGCAGACCGATGGCTTCAACAAAAACCATCAGTTAACAACCTCGTAGTTCACAGGTCTGTCTTTAAAAGGCCATTAGTCATCATTCAAAATTAATTTCTCTGTTGGGAAAATGAAAGGAATTTTTCCTTCCGGATCCCAACTGTGGCAGGTGATGGAACAGGTGATGGTTTGGTGCTTGTAGCGCATACTCTACATTTCACCTATTTCACTTTTAAGATATAATGTATTACTTACATGACTAGCTGGCAGTCTGGGGTGCCATTAGGACAGGGACTCTGGGACTTGATGGTGTACTTCTCAGTTCCACAGGATACTGCCACAGTAACAGCACGCTTGTGAACAAATGCACACCAGTTCCTGGAAGGGAGAGTGAACGTCAGCCACACAACTTATTAAGTATACTCTGTAGTTAGGAAACATTGGAAGTATCCAGTTCGGTCAAGGCCAGAGGTTCATTGTACCAATACACTTAGCAATAATACAGTTATTCTTGCATACTTGTGTTTAGCTGAACCTTTTTTCTCCTAGTTCTCAGGGTCAAGTCTAAAAATATTTCATTGTCTACAGGCAAATATTAACCTACAAATGACACATTAAGCCCTTTAATGTGTTTCTTGGAATGCATCCATGGTAATCTCAAATTAGTTTTTATGAATCAATGGCCGGATGTTTTCTTCAAAGTTCTTGGAATAAACACAATTTACAGCAACATTAAGAGTAAATAAGCTGTGATTCCTGCAGCAGCACTGCACATCAAGACAGCTTTTCACAAATTAAATAATAATCAGTATCATTTTTGAGGGTTTCCTTCTGTATATTATTTAATGCCTCATATTTAATGAGGCAATCACTGTGACAGCTTATGATTGGTTGTCTCTTGATGAACAACTTGACGTTACGTTCTCACACACTGTAAACATTCGTAGATAACCTCTTTTCAGGGTTAAAAGTGGTGCAAAACACCATTCAAAATTACAAGTGTGAAACATTGAAACAGTTCCAATCATATGTGTATGCAGAATTTTCAGATCCATTTGAGATTTGAATATGTTGAAATATTTGAACTTTTGCAGCTAGACCCTGTCCGACCATCAAACTGGATGCATCTATGATGCATCTAATCAAAGCTATAAGATTAGTGAAGAACAAAGTTAGAATTACCAATATATTTCCACAAAAATATAATTTTTGAAACACTATTTCTTTAAAATGGATATTTATGAATAATTACATCCAAATAATATACATTGTTACAGGAGACATATTATGCCCCTTTTTACAATATGTAATACAAGTCTCTGGTGTCCCCAGAATGTGTCTGTGAAGTTTCAGCTCAAAATACCCCACAGATCATTTATTATATCATTTTGAAAATGCCTATTTTGAGTGGAAGCAGAAACACGCTGTTATTCGTGCCTGTCTCTTTAAATGCAAATGAGCTGTTGCTCCCCGCCCCCTTTTCCAGAATAGAGCTGCGCCATTACAGCTCGTACCTGCTAAAAACATCTGTTTTGGTTCTGACAATGTGTCCACAAAATCCAGTTTATTTTGGCATACAGTTGCTTCCTTTCAAACCAGGAACCAAAGAATAGGTGTCTGGGTGCCAACAGCCATGACTCATTGATAATAGTGCTGAGAGCATGGCATCCCTGATCTGATCTGGCAGTGAGGGAGATGAAAAGTTATCTACTGATTTACAATGCTGTAAAAAGCAGAGCCCCCTTCTGAACTGGGCAAGCCCAAACACCCTGTTCCTGTTTTGACCTGTTGAATACAAATTAGGAGCTCAATTAGGAGATAAATAAAATGGAAAGGTCATTGCTTCACACAAAGGACAGAGAAGGTCCGTACCATGTCACAGGTTTAGAGAGGTTGGTTACATACACTGATTGAGGGTGGCTGACCAGAAAGACAAAACACAGCACTAAGATTTCATTGGGTCCAGCTGTGAGGTCCATTTCCTGAGGTCACGGCAGAGCTCATGATGATGCGCTGCAGTTATTTTACATCATTAGAGCTGATCTTTGACATGAGTCTTTGTTACTGATTACGAGTAAACCGGTAACACTGAGCAGAGATCAGAGGTTTGTTGAAGTTAAAGGCTGGACAGATAAGGCTCTGTGGGTAGATGTATTTGGAAATGGTCCTCTGAGGAGGAACATCATCCTGCAATTGGTTGTTTTAACTTGCTCAATCCTCTTGATGTATGATTCATAGTCCACAAGCAAGACAGGTCAAAACCTCCCTGCCAAATCCATCACATCCACTGCCGAGTTGTGAATTCTTTGTGTGTAATTGTTCAGTCTTTGGTCAATGGTTAATGCGTTCGGTATGAGCTTGAGAATGAGAAACTCTGTATTGGTCTCTCCATAAATCAAACACGAATGTAGGGCAGATCAGGTCAAGAGGAGCGGTATATTTCGAAATAATTTTGATGACTAAATGACTGGGAATACGCCAGGTTGAGTTTTTGATTTGTGTAACGTATCGTGTGGTTCTAAACCCACAGGCCATGATACATTCAACATAGCCAAATGAATCAGTTAAGCAAAGTTGCACTTCAGTTATAAGCCAAAACACAACACAAACATACTCGTTCCAACACTATTGGTAAGTAACAGCACTATTTACAGTGTTGGGAAGGCTACTTTGGAAATGTAATAGGTTACAGATTACAAGTTACCCTATTTCAAATGTAATAGTAGTGTAACTTTTTCAATTACTTTATTAAAAGTAATGTAACTGATTACTTTTTGATTACTTTTCTAAATTTCTAATGAATGTTTATTTGCAACTGTTAATCATTTTCAAGCATTTACACCATGCAGGGTTAACCTTACAGTAGTGCTCAACACTATCAGACTTCCAAAATCCTTCATCACTTGAATTAAGATGATCAAATTTGAACACATCCACCATAAAATCAGACTTTAGTACCGCCTTTTACTTTGAGATTGATCTGAAGTTCAATGCAGATTTAAAATCATAAGAAATAGTTTAGATAAGAAATAGTTAATAGATAAGAAATCTTAGCATAACTACAGGAAACACTGCATCTAACAATGGTTTGGAAAACAATTGTTAATTAAAAAAGAATAAATAAAAGCATATACATCAACTCAAATATGGTTATCTAATAAGCATGTGTCCTATTCTGTGTACTAAACTCCTGAAACACTGGTGTCTCTTTCTATATGATATGGCGATAGTTTTCTAAAAATAAGTAAAATGCTCATGAAGTGACTCAGAGTCTCAGTTCTAGAGATTATGTGTTCATGTACTCATATATTGAGGCGGCAGAGGCTGAAAACACCGCAAGCTTCAGTAGGCCTATGTGTAGTAATTTCCACGAGGGGCAGACTGGGATAAAAAAATTCAGGCCGGGAAATCTCACACTCATACACCCACAACAAATTCTGAAACATGGACAGCCCTATTTTTTGTATGGACCTCACATAAAAAAAGGTTTAAATCCTTAGGTTGGGGACATAATTAAAAGTTCTCTCATGAACTGCACCTTCACTTCCATTTTTCTTTTCAGTCTCTTTATTTTGCCCTGATATCTATCTCTCTCATGACTTTAATACTCAAGATTTAACAAAACTATACTTTCTAAATTGCCTACATGTCAAAATTAGTACATCACTACAATATCTTTATAGAAAAATCATAATACTGAACATGAGTCATGTTTTTCCCCACAAAAATTAACCAAAAAATTAATTTTTTTTTTGCAAATGGATTACCATTTGTATTTATTCTTACTACAAATGCCATGGTTAAACTATGGTTAGTGTAGCAAAAACCATGGTTAATTTGTGGTTACCATGGTTTAACAATAGTAACCATTGTCTTTGGATTTATAGTAAAATCATCGTTAATTTTCGTAAGGGTTGTGTTGTTGTCTGCCCTAGCTCCCCCTAAACCTATTATAAAATATGATTATTTATCTGATAAATTACTACTGTAACATTACAACAGATACTGCAGATGTAAAGACGTTTGTCTCTGTTGTTGGATTTAACACAATGAGTGTTTCGAACATTACTTGTTCGTTCCTCTGACATTATATTTGTTTTGATAACTAAGCTGACCGTAATGTTCTCATTGATTAATAGGATCTGAAGGTAAAGGGATTAAAGGTCTCAAGACAAGTTACTTAAAGCACGTGAATCATTGTAGTTTACAAGTCTGTGATTTTGCTTTATTCTGGGGCAGACTGGGATTAAAGGATTAAAGGACAACAGACTTGCTTCTCGCTGCCTTCATCTCTGGTTTACGTTAGCGTCTGCAACCCTAAGAAGAGGTTAAATCGAGCTGGAATGATCTGGAGATGAATTCGGGCACTCTTGATACAGAAAGAAAGACAAATTGGACAGTTTGTTTGTCAGTCCATTCAATTTAATCTTCTGTCTCCATTTAGTGAGTTTACTTGTTCAAAAAACTACAATTTTACTGCATCACGGCAGAAAGTTATTTACAGAACTGGGTGTTAAATTTTGGCCCATATATACTCCTGTTCCCTAATCAGCACCTTTCAGGCTTAAATCAGACTTTGTCACTTCCTGCCATATAGTTCTATGGATGGACATCTCTGTAAGCACATTGCCTTTCCTTCTGCATTTTGCCGATTAGTGTCCCCTCACAGAAAGGAAGCGTCAGACACTCTGTCCCTCTGGCAAACTTCCCTCATCCTGGGATCCTTACCCAATGAAGATACCCACGGACTTCCACACATACAGACTGACATGACCTCTAACCTTTAGCCCCTTTTTTTCATACTTTCCGTTGGTCCTCCTGTGTCATTTTTCTAGAAAGTGTACTGCAAAAAAAATAATTCTCTTAATCAGTATTTTTGTCTTATACAGAAAGTTATGTACAGAACTGGGTGTTAAATTTTGGCCCATATATACTCCTGTTCCCTAATCAGCACCTTTCAGGCTTAAATCAGACTTTGTCACTTCCTGCCATATAGTTCTATGGATGGACATCTCTGTAAGCACATTGCCTTTCCTTCTGCATTTTGCCGATTAGTGTCCCATCACAGAAAGGAAGCGTCAGACACTCTGTCCCTCTGGCAAACTTCCCTCATCCTGGGATCCTTACCCAATGAAGATACCCACGGACTTCCACACATACAGACTGACATGACCTCTAACCTTTAGCCCCTTTTTTTCATACTTTCCGTTGGTCCTCCTGTGTCATTTTTCTAGAAAGTGTACTGCAAAAAAAATAATTCTCTTAATCAGTATTTTTGTCTTATTAATACAAATATCTAAACATCCGCAAGACAATATATATATTTACTTAAGAAGTTAACTGAACAAGATATCATTTATTTACAGATAATGTACACTATTGTTCAAAAGTTTGGGGTCAGTAAGATTTTTTTATGCTTTTGAAAGAAGTATCTTATGCTCACCAAGGCTGCAAAACAGTAAAAACACTAATGTTGTGAAATATTATTACAATTTAAAATAACGGTTTTCTATTTTAATATTTATTCAAATGTAATTTATTCATCATTACTCCAGCTCTCACATGATCCTTCAGAAATCATTCTAAAACCATCTTTGAATGGTAATGTTTTCTGAATGAAGTGTATTTTCTTTACCACACTGTAAAATAGTGAACATCTCAAGCCATAACTTATTACGAGTTGGAGCGAAACTTGTATGCAAATCCCTGTAACAAATCAAAGAGCTTTGAAAAGCTGTCTTGATGTTTTTATCAGCAGACATTTATCCTACTGTATACAAAGTTGAAATATTAAGGCTGAATATTAACAGAGGATTTAGTTTGACTTTGGATCCTCTAAACAGGCTTCCCATTGTCTCTGACTGTTGTACAGCAGCTACAACAGATAAAACTCTCCCATCCATGTCATTCCTCTGATTCTAGTCCAAGAAATAAAGCTCATTATAAGCAAGTGAAGTGGTGAGTTTATATTGATTTGAGCACAAAAGGAAACAAGGATTTTCTTGTTTCTTTTCTTTTTTTTTTGACAGACAGACCTCTGTTGAGATTGGTTAAGACCCAAGAAGTAAATTGTATGCAAAACTTTTTTAGGGCCAGGTCGTAAGCTAGAGCAGCTTCCTGAGACAGTCCCAGGATGAAAGCAGATGAACTAAAACCACATCAGAGAAAGAAGAGTGTGTGAGCGGATTTGAAATATAGAAACCGAATACACAGGCATGGAGAGAGGTACGCATGAGTGTCAGGTCAGAACATTCACATTCAGATGAATTCAGGGGATTTCAATGACGAAAGACGAGTGTCTTGATGATTTGACTTGTGATATTCAACAGCTGTTTTTTGTTCAGAAAGCTTGAGAAACTTTGTGAAGTTAAATTTCTATTTAAATTATTTCCAACAATTTTTATCAAATTTTCCACAAAAGTACAAAACATTCCCTTTGTTACCGTGATCAGTGATAATTTCCTCCAGCTGCCTCCAATTTTGTGCACCTGGGCATCAAACTCTCTCTTTGTCACTCTGTCTTTCTTTCTAACTATTCAGAGCTGTCCATGCATGCCAAGACATCACATCTCTAAAAAAGGATCTTTTCTTTCATCCACAGACCGAGACCTCCCCTAAATTCCACCTGTTATTTAACAAACCTTTTATGTTACCCTAATCTAGGCTTAAACGATAAACATCAAAATATGAAAAAAGACAAGTTACCATTACAAAATAAATGGAAGCATTGCAACTGCATTACGAGAAGATAAAAGGACAATGGTTTTTATGCATAAAACCATGGAAAAAAATATTTGGTTTAAGAGGAAACTCCAGTAGTTCAGCTCCGTACTTCTGTGTTTTTTCTCTTTCTTATATATTCAGTAGCAAATAGCTTGAAAGGATAAGTCATTATAAATATGAAAAAGGCATTGTTTTTTAAAAAAGTCTATTTTAAATGAATGCTTTTCTTTTGAACTTTCCAATAACCAAAGAATCC